AAAAAAAAAAAAAGGTAGCATGAGAAAGGAAACAGTATTGCTTTTAGCTTACTGTGGGCATTGTTACTTGGAGTTCCAACATATGACTGCTTAAAGGCACTCAAGTAAAAAACCGAATAAGCTGCCTATCTTCATAAAGTTCAGAGCCATTTCTCCATTCAATCACTGTGCATGGCCCTACCCCGGCCCTCGGCAGCAGTTCTTACTGGTTCTTCAGGTTCATGGGCACAGAATTAGCTTTCTCTGACCTTTTCCTCCTAGAGAAGAGATTTACTCCCTTCTCCTCATACGTTCTCTCAGCTCACACAGTTATATGGCCTTACAGCGGTAAGGACAGCAGTAACACCACCAAAAGGCATAAACTTGATACATCATTTCACTACTAAGGTGTAGCAATTAACCTTGTTTGATATGTTTTGTGAAGTATCTAAAGGAGGCAATTCATACACCCTATGCATACTTTTCAGTCATTCTAGTTATTTGAAATTATCTAAAATGACTTATACAATGTAAAAGTTTGGTTGCTTTGCTATAAAAATAATTTATATTCATACAGCTTTTTTAAAATATGTAGTACAACAAAAAGCAGTAACAATTAGAGGGAGCCCTGGACTGAAAGCCTATTACATATGTGCCAGGCTTGTTACATATATTACCCTATATAGCCTTTGTAACACTGCAGTGAAGTAGGCATGATGGCCTTTTTACAAATGAGCAAACTGAAGCACAGTGGTGCAATAACTTGCCCAAGATTACAGTTAGGGAGCAGTGGCACTCAGGTCTTTCTGAATCCTAAGGGCAAGCTCTTTCCAGGACACGATACTTTTCAGGACATATACTTAACAATGCATAAGCTGAATGCATATTCAGACTTGCTGCCTAGCATTTAGGAATCACTTGACATCTACAAAAGAGGACAAATATTAACATTCAAACAAATTGTTGGAAACAACTTGACATCATGCAGCCTACTAAACAAAAACTAGTACAATCTAATATAAATAACATAATGCTTAGTTGTTAGCATGTGATTGACCTTAATAAGGTCCAAACTATCTGTTTAGAGTAGGTTGGGAAAAATCTCTTGACCTCAGGCTATAGAGAAGAGTTTTCAAGGCCATGTACTACTTACTTCCACACTCTTCCATACCCCACCCCACCCTTAAAAGAGTACAGAAAGTATGAGTTACTCTACAGATCACCAAACAACTTGCCAAGTGACCTCAAGGGCAATCCAGTCCTGGGAAATACTCCTTCCTTGTGGATTGCCCTTCTTGTCACATATCTGTTCTCATCTCCTCCCTCTCACTTGGCCACAGTCATTGCAATTCCCACCAAGTAATCAATTTAATCCTCTCTTTGGACTTTAAATTCACTGTACCATCCTTTCAGGTACTACCTATGATAGCCTCCATTATCAGCCAACTCTAAAGATTCTCAAAGGTTAAACCACTGTGTCACCAGATGAGTTTCAGATTTTTCACTCTGGTTAAGCACTATCCATGTAAGCAGAACAAATTTGTCTTTCACTATAATTCTGGGCTTTAGACTTAATCAATTACATTTCAAGATATTTGTTCCTGGGGGCCTCTTACAAGTTCTTTCATATTGCTTATTTATGAACGTGTTTTACTTTCTCTACTAGACTGAGAACCCTTTCAGCTCAGTAACCACTCAGTATTTACCTTTGTAATCTGTGTGTAGCACAGTACTAGATATGTCTCTTCAATGAGTACATGTGTGTTGTATTTGTGTGTACATGAATGTGTATATACAGGAAACTAAGTTCAGCACTGAGAAAACACCTATATATAAAGGAATTAGGAACTTTCTGAAAGCTCAAGTCAGTTACTTTTGATAACAAAAGTACTAATGCCAGTTGTACCCAATACTGCAAAGTACCTACATGGGCATTTATTGTGTACCATAAATTGTCTATTAAAAGTCTGAAGCTATTATTCCCATAACACAAAATCATGTGTAGAGCTAAAGATACAATTTTGTCAAAATAAAAAGATTCATATCCTAAACTATTATTCTAAAATAGCTTTCCATGATAAGAGCTTTTTTAGAATATAACACATTTACTCACCCACTGATGGTCATTGTCATTCAACAACAAAATTCCTCATTTATTTCCCTTATCTTACTTCTGATTCCAAATGTCATTTTTTATGTCTGCTTTTTACTTTCTTATTTTGTGTGTGTTGTCTCAGTATTTTTAATGAGCAGGTATTATATTTTAAATCATAATATCAATAATGCTATCTTAAGTTTTGAAAGAAAAAGAGGGGCATTTAAACCCTGTTAATAACCAGTTAATTGTGAAATAAGCTAGTTTCATTTCACATTTCCCCAAAATATATCTAAATATCACTTTAGAAATTTGCTGGGAATTTAGTATATAAGTGAGCTAATGAAGGCAAAATTTTAGGTACAAAAATGCTGGAAACATATCTGTAAGGAGAGATTTCTAAATTCTAGCCTAAAATGAAAAGTGAGTGACTCTTTTTTCCTTAAAAAATAAGAGGTTGTCAACAGGCTAGAATTCTATATCTTTAAAGTTTTAATGTGGACAAGAATAAAAATCAGACTTTGAATCAGAAGGCTTTAAAAATTGTTTCACTTGTACAATAACACCCATGAAGGGCTTCCTTTTTAAGTACTGATGAAGTCGTCTCCAGATCTTATCCATGGTATCATACTCTACTTGACCATGGTGAAAGAATGAATCCTTTTGTTGATATTATTTTAACTAGTGATTTAAAGCTACTCTGCCAAACGATTCAAAATTGTTCATACAGTCTTAAATAACACGGTGCTAAAGCACTAATGGTGCTTCCTCATAAAAACTTGATTACATTTAGATTTTTAAATTACATTCTGTGTTTCCCTATGTCAACATCACAGTCATCACATTAATGCAATCCATGCAAATACAAGTCTCCATTCCCTCCATCCGTCCTTAAAAGCCCGGTTCAGCAGTTTCTGCTACAGCACCATGCTGCAGCATCCCTGCACTTGAAGTTGCGAGCAGGCTTTTCAAGACTGCAGGCAGAGCCCTTACCGCATTCCTTCTGAACCTCATCTTGCCTCTCGGGGGAGTTGCTTCTGCCATCTCGCCTATACACAGTAACACTCTTCTTTTCCAATTGTCAATGCAACATTGATGAAATATGAGCTGCTTCTTGGGTAGTATTGAAAAGCAGCAGCCAAAAATCTCTATCAAACAAAGCTACGGTAGCTGTAGCTGCTTCCATTACCACTGGGGCAGCATTGTAAGAAAGCCACTATCCCTGATTAGTCAGCTGACAAATCCTTCCCTGCTGCTCATTGTAATTCAGAGCTGACACATTCCCCAATTACTTAGCCTGATTGAAGCTCATGGATTAGCTTGTGCTGGACTGCTCAAGATGATCGGGCATGTCCTAAGAGTGGACACAGAAGGGGAAAAAAAAGACTCTTCTCCAAAGGGCTGGATGGGACGGGCTTCCTCCTCTGCGCAGTTTGATTTTTAAGGTGGAATGCTAAGAATCTTTGTGAAGGTCGTATTAACTGATACCTTCATCCTTTGCCTACCCTGGTCTGTAACTTAAAATTCACTTTTTAAAAAAAAAATTAAATTCTATTATGTGTTAAAAGCCTTATGAAAGTTTAGTTTTTAAATGTTTTTCCTGATGATTATCTAGAAGGAACATAACATGCAAGTTTTTTAAGATGGATAGGATTCTCTCCCAAATTACCATGTCCCCAAAATGTGTAACTACAAAAAAAATTTCTTGCCCTGCTGGGCATAGCTCAGTGGTTGAGCATCGACCTAGGATCCAGGAGATTGGGGTTCGATTCCCGGTCAGGGCACATGCCTGGGTTGCGGGCTCGATCCCCAGTCAGGGGCGTGCAGGAGGCAGCCGATCAATGACACTCTCGTCATTGATGTTTCTATCTCTCTCTCTCCCTCTCCTTTCCTCTCTCGGAAATCAATAAAGATATGCTTAAAAAAAAATCTTGTCTCCTATCATGAATGATGAAGTATAACCTAACTGCATAGTGTATTTTGGAATCTACAAATTAAGGTCTACAAATTGAATTGTAAAATTATTTCTTAGACACTCATTTAAAATAATATACCAAAGACAGTTATACCTATCTATACAATGGCAATTTTCACCAGAAATCCTTTCTGAATGCCAACTTTTGCTCTCGAAGTTAGCTTGCACTATTTACCTTTATTGCAAATAGTGTCGAATGGCTACTAATGGTTGAGATACAATTTATGTGCTCTTGAATATAGGTATAGAAACTACCACAAGCAAAAACGTTTAGAATGTTAAAAAGAAACATAAAATAATCTACAGCCAGCTACATCACCTGTACACCCACTCACTCACTCCCAATGCCGTCAATTTGGCAGTTACAAGAATAAAGGTACTCTGAATGTCCGTCCAGCTCTTTGCTGAACATGGTTCATTCTTCCCCAGTAAGAGAGCATTCCTACAAAGACAGAAAAGGGAGCATAACCTCCCAAAAAACAAGTCTGTATTCCTCTGTTAACCCCAGATCAATAGGATCACAACTGAATCTTATATTTCTCTTTGAGGAAAAACAAGACCTCTACTCCAAGTAACCAATTTGATTAATAAAAAATGGCTTTTACTTCATTTGGCCCCATTGATAGGGATCAACTGTATATGGAGGGCAGACTTGCTCTCTCCAAAGGAATTTTACTTTTTTCTAAAAATCACTGATTTTATTTGTCTACCCAAAATCCAATTTCACTTAGAAATTGATAAAAAGCAGCAGGTGGAAAAGGCACCAACTGAAATTAATGAAAATTCAATTTTTGCTCTGGCTCTTTTTATTAGCTAGCTATTTGACTTCACATAACCTTTCGAAAATGTGTACCTCCATATAATTCCCTCATCTATAAGACAATTATAACAGCACCTGTCTGGAGTACTTAATCAGGAAATAAAGAGAATCAACATTAGTTTAAAAATGTGACTGCTTTTGAAAGGCAAAAAGATATTATACAAAGTCAAGGGCTTGTAATTTTAGTAACTTGTGTGAATCAACTCTTCTTTCAATATCTTATGATTAAACACCTCTGTTAAAGAAATAAACAAGAAACAAATTTGCTGACTTGCCTAAGATGAGTAATTTATACTGGGTATGAAAACAATAATGATCTCATTCATTTCACCATGGAAGTTCAGTATACAGCTGACCCTTAAATAATGCTGGATTAGGGGCCCAAGCACCCACAGTCTAAAATCTACAAATAACTATTGACTCCCCAAAACTTAACAGCCTAATGTTGACCTGAAGCAGTGTTACCGATAATATAAACAGTAGATTAACACATATTTTGCATGGTATATGTATTATATACTATATTCTTAGAACAAAGTAAGGTAGAGAAAATGTTAAGAAACTCATAAGAGAAAATACATGTACAATATTCATTGAAAAAAAATCCGTGTATAAGTGAACCCACATAGTTCAAAGACGTATCGTTCAACTATCAACTGTATTTTTTTAAAAATATATCTCTATTCATTTCAGAGAGAGGAAGGGCAAGGGAGAGATAGAGATAGAAACATCAATGATGAGAGTCATTGATCGGCTGCCTCCTGCAGGCCCCTGACTGGGGATCGAGCCCGCAACCCGGGCATGTGCCCTGACCGGGAATCGAACCCCGATCGCCTGGATCCTAGGTCAACGCTCAACAGCTGAGACACGCCCAGCTGGGCTCAAGTGTATTTTTTACACTTGTTAGCAACTTAGTTTAGTAAAAAGAAGCTAGTCTCTGAAGCCTAACAACATAGATTTTTGTCTTGCCTTCACAAATAAATCAACTTTCTCTGCTGGGTGTGGCCTCCTGTGTCAGGAAACAAAGTAAGAATTTCAGATGGTTGATGTTGGACTCTCAAAGAAAAAAAATATATATTGATTCCCAGCTACTCTGGTATGATAGAGAAAGTTGAAAACATGGTACTTCCACAGACAGCTCCACTCTTACCAGCTCAGGAGTCTATGGGTTCTTAATCTCCTTCCTCTTTTACGAAAGAGAAGTATCAGACAATGCCACTATATCCAAGTGAGCTTAAAATGTAAAAGACTGTCTTCCTTGTCGGCAGGATTGCATCTCTCATAATGTTTCCTTTAGGGAAACTGTTTTCTCTTATCTGGATCTTGGGGAGCTGGGGACTAGATTCCAATAGGGGAGATATATCATTTTACAGGTGACTCACTTCCCTACTCTATCCCAGGGAATAAGCACTTGTTAAAAAGTGCTTATTTCTGGATGGTTGGATTGACTACTGTTTTAAACTTTCTTTTTTATACTTTTCCATATTACAATGAGTATACAGCACAGCTATTTCCATTTTTAGAAAGTTCCCATAAAAACTTGCCTTGCTCTGAAAGGCATAGGGAACCATGAGTCTCTTCTCACTTATAATTGGAACAATTTACTACTCATTCTTTTATTTTGGGTGTAGTTGTTTACTGATGGAGACAATTAAATAGATGGGATGGTGAGATGGGAAAGTAGGAACAAGAGTTGGTACAGGAGATTGAGCTAACTTTTTTGTTTCCATCAGTATCAAAATAATCTATACCCCCAAAACAGAAAATAAAATGTAAAACAAAAATAAGTTACTAAAAATGCACTGGTACTTACTGAGATTTTTTGGAGAGAGATTTTGATAGAAGACCATGTATCCAACCTTCGATCAAGAATAATGGTAAACCTGGAATCAGATCCATTTTTCCTACAAAATAAGAGAAAATAATATGTATTTATTAGTAATCATCCAAATTTGCTAGATACATCCTTACTTCTGATTATTTCATTTACATTTGATGTCTTAACTAAAGACAGATTTGGATTTGAAAGCTATCACAAAGTGCTACCTTAGAAAACCAAATTTATTCCATATTCCACTACTCACTATTTAAAATTTCTTTTTCAGCATTAATGTCAATTTTTTAAATAGACAAGAGACAGTGTAATGCAGATAGGTCACTAAAATGGATTTGGGAAACTGCAATCTTGGGTATTGGTAAACCTTATAGACCACTGTCTTTCATGACATTAGATTTAACTTTTTGTGAAACCCATCATAAGCCAATGATCATCCATTCATTTGTTCAGAAAAATACTATTAAATATGTTTTAATCTGTTGTCTACCATTTTAGAAAAGGCAGTTAAGTTGGTTGTCAAATGATCTTTAATTGAAACATTTTCCTTTGTAGTTCTTAACTAGCTGGGCACTCCACTGCACCACTGTTGATGTCATCTGTGATGTCATGAGGGTGGTGGCCATCAACATTGCAGCCCACAGACTGGGCAGTCCCCAGGGTCTCTATAATGGTTCCAGAGAGTTATCTAGTTAAACATCGGTGCCTCATCTGTCAGGCAACGTTGACAATCTCATCAAGAGTGATATTTCCTCTGTGCTTAATGTGTTTTTGCTTCTCTCTGACTCTTGGCAGTTCTGAGGGCTTTGTTTTGTATTCAGAGATCCCCAGTATAATTTTTATAGTTATTTAGGTAGCTGACAGCTTCCCTTTCTATTTATCTACTCTGAAGGTGATCATTTACAATAGTAACAGTCACACTCAAAAGCCATTTTCCTGTTTTTGCACTCATGGGTATCCAACATAAAACAAATTGAAAAAATGTTAGGAAATGCTATACCTCGCAATCGATGTCAAATAAGTCAGTACTTTTGCTATCACTTCTTCTGGTATACATCTGAAATTACAGTTTTCTGGAAATGTAATGATCCAAGCATTGTCCTTTCCCCGGCCTCCTAAAATAGTATTTAAAAATCAAGCAAATTAATAATTTGTGTGACAACAATGCAAGAAAGAGAATTTCTAAATTTGAAAATATCAGTTAGGAGACAGTTTTTTGCCAATGCAACTTTTATAAGGATGATATTGCCACATAAACCAAAATGATACCATGCTCCTAAGTTAAAAAAGTGACAGATTCCAAATGAGGGGAGGGGACAAAATGAATGAATATATTTGGAAGAAAATTTCATGGAATGTGTAATCAAAAATATAGTCAATACCTCAAATTGGACAACCAAAGATATTGGGAAATAACTGTTTCTTTACCAATGCTATGAGCCTAAACTCAAAATGAATAATTGGCAGTTTGACAGCAAGTGGAAACTGATATAATCAACAACTTAGAGTCATGGTAAGCATGAAAGAATACAGGATACAACTGCAGGAAATAAGTGGTGCTCTAATGGATTTGTGGAAGACACAACATAAGTAGTAATAGCAGCAATGGTATAGAAATCCTACCAATGCAAAGAAAGGCTGACCAAGAGTTTGAAAAACACTGATGATCTTCAGTAAAATCCCCTGAACTCAACAGTGACAGTATGTCGCACATTTATACCACTTATAAAATAAAACATAAAACCACATTAAGTCACCACTAATTCACAATTGCCACTAATTATAATCATTAAAGCAGAGGCTAGATTGAAGTGCCTAATTAAAATCATCTATAAAGTAAATACTTCCTTAGTAAACTGAGCATGTAGATATCATTTTAGGAGAAAAAAAAAAAGAGCTACTTAAAAGAAATAAAATTGTTTCTTGTATTACCAACACCTGAAGAAGCATTCATTTTCATGCAAACTGCATATAACTTACAAATTTTTGTTTAATATAATATATATAATGTTTAATGGTATATTTCAAATTACTCTAATACCTGAAAGCAATTAGCTTGTCTTTAAGCAAAATGTTCCCTAGATATCTGATCATGTCAAAAGGAAAGGAATGGTTATGTCTCTAAAAATATGTAATGCTGTTAAGCAGCATTATTCACGGTAGCCAAAAGGCAGAAGCAACCCAAGTATCCAACAACAGAAGGATGGACAAAATGTAGTATATACATAATATGGAATAATATTCAGCCTTAAATAGGAAGGAAGTCCTGACATATGCTACAATATGGATGGACCTAAAGGACATTATGCTAAGTCAAATCAGCAGTCATAAAAGGACAAAGACTGTATGATTCTACTTATATGAGGTACATAGAGTAATCAAACTCATAGGGACAGAAAGTAGAATGAAGGCTGCCAGGGGCTGGAAAGGAGGGAATGGGAAGTTATTTTTTAATAGAGTTTCAATGTTATAAGATCAATAGTTCTGGAGACTAATGGTGATGATAGTTGCACAATGAGAACGTGATTAATACCATTGAAGTGTACACTTAAAAATGGTGAAGATAGTAAATTCTTTATTATGTGTGTTTTAACACAATTTTTAAAATTATATACAAATGCATATACATATACAAATATAGGTATATATTTTAGAAAAGTAAACTTTTTATCACGTGGAAATGAAATCCTAAAAAAAATAATAAATCTTAGTATGTGCTGCTTGATTAGGTGAAAGATTGACAGAATTTGTAATAAACATTTAAGAAATCAGAATATCGTGAAGGAGAAAAATCTCTTACCCAGCCAGCACCCACCTAGGAGACGTATTCTACTTTCACCTATCATGGATTTCTAAAGACTTGTCAGAAAGTGAAATATACAAGGGTGGTAAAATTGGTTTAAATCACATATCTAAACATATTGAAAACCTATGTACACAATGTATAAATTTTTATTAAAATAGTGTCTCTCTCTCTAAATATACATATACACACATACACACACATATAAACATATATATACACATGTATATATACACATATATATTTATACTAATAAGGACCAAACTAACTTTGCTGATTCATACACTTATCTCATCTAAATATACATAAAAGTCTGCTTACCAGACAAAAAGGCAATGTCTTGCATTAAGAAATGACTGATGTCCTTTACACGGAGACGTGGCTGGGTATCTAAGACAAATGAGGAAAAGAAACATACATGTTAAAGTACAGCTAGAACCATAGATATTATCGCACATTGTGCTAAAAAGAACTCCAGGGGTCCCGCAGATCTGTGTCCACAGACGTGCTGCTGCTCTTCCCTTCTTTACTCCTCAGCTACATGGCAGGGAAATCTCATTGTTGAAAACATCACTGGGTAAGTAGGACCAGTGTCCTAGTTCTCAGAATCTATGCCCAGGACATAAACTACTCTCACTCACCAGAAACCCAGGGGCAAAGGTCCAAACTCCAAGGCATCTGGATATATATTAAAGGGTAGATAGTCATGTGGAAACACTAGCAGATTGTCTTCTAATTCTGATAATGTCTTTCATTCTTCAAAGCTTTATTAGAAATTACAAAGCACCTTTCAGATCTCTTATCTTAACGAGTCCTTAGAATAACCCCAAGGAAGGTATTATCCCATCTTGTAAGTTAGGAAAAGAGTCGGAGAGTAAGTACAGTGTAGTGGTCAAGCATGTGGCTTTCGAGTCAGACACATCTGAATTCAAATCCCAATTTTTTGCATTTACTGGCTGTACGAACAAGTACAGGTTACTTAGCCTCTCTGAGCCTCAGTTTCCTTACTTGTAAACTGGGCATAATAACATCTACCTCACAGGGTGCTGTGCCAACAAAATGCAAAATATCTGGCATAATACCAGGTGTTTTATAAACAGTAGCATATTAACTCACCTTTGATCATTACAGGTGGGGCCACATCCATGCACTCATTCAATGTGTTTTAGTTGTCCCTGATCTTAAATGCTGATTTCTAATGTTCAATTCTAGTGAACTCTACAGGCACCAAAAATCAAAGTCTACTACCTGCCTCTGGTCCATGAGCAAGGATAACTTTTTGAAAGAAAACAGGTCATCAAACTAGGCTATTTTAGACTGCTGGTTTTAATGCCTGTGGTTCCACATCTCTTATAGAAGCCATATTTTCCACTTGTCTCTGATACAAAAAAAAAAAAATGGTCTTCAAAGACCTAGTCTCTGGTGGTGTCATGCAGATGACACCCTTCTTAGTGCTCCTCAAATCATACAATACGGATGTGGTTTATCAGGGTCAACCCCACTCAAGTTCGTGATGGGTCTTCACTAGACACTGCAATAGGGTAACTGTTACAGAATGACCCAGCCCCAATGAGGCTCCCAGTATGTCCCAGGCCAAGGCATGAACTTGCACATTTTTGTGTCTTCACATCCAAACTGCACAGTGTAGTTATTTTTTCAGTGTTGCATGTTTCCTCAGATAAAAGAATGTGTTTCTGACAGCCACAAATATGTGTCACACATTGACATTTTTAGGCATGGAGACATGTAAGAAGGGTGAGAATGGGGATAATGCAAAGACGACTAGAACTGTCTCTGCCCTTCAAGGCCTGTAGAAATGGCAATGCCCCAAATGTGTTCTGGCATTTAAATAAGAGCATTAGGCATTAAAATATTCCTATATAATAAAACTCAAATCCCTCCCTGCCTTGACCAGTAGAAGATAAATTGATGAAATTTATGTCAGATGGCAGATCTAGAAGTACAAACACCTGTAACTTCATTCCTCTCATATCATTCAGGCTCCTGCATAGCTACAGAAATTATGTCCACTTACTCTACATTTTCTTAATCCACTTATATAATAAGATAGGTATCAGGCATAAAACAGAAGGGAGTGAGAGGACCTGGGCCTAGTGCTGGCTCTGTCAGTGAGCTGCTCTGTGATCCTGAGCAAGTCACTCCCTACCTCTCAGCTCATTACTCCCATTTTGGAAGCGAGGATGATACAACAAATGCTTTCTAAGGCCCTTAACATTCTATGAGATCCAACAACAGGTAACTCCATA